GAGGGCGCTCTATCTGCAGTGGAAGATGAAGAAGAGGTACCAAAAGCAGGTAGAGTCGAGTCGAGCCATACCAAGGGTCAGTGTACTTTGCGACCAACAGATTTTCGCTTTGAAATGGGAAATAAAAAACTAAATGATTGTCGTTATGGCAACAGCCCTGCCGGTTGGGAGACAAACTCTGTCATCAGCAGTTGATCCTGAGACATGGATCAAGTGGTATTTTAATTGTGTTGTGCTGAGCTGCACGTCGGCAAAGAGAAGTGTACAAAGAGTTATGAGGAAGTGAAATGTGTGTTACCCACTGTAAAGGAAACAAGTACAGTACAGGGTTCCCACTCTTCTTAAGAACTCATTTTCCAGGAACCTTCGCAGGACATTTTCCTGGAGTTTTCTTGATACTAGAATTCTTCAGATTTCAGGAAGCTCCTCCACAGCCACAGAGCACATTATACAACTGTCTGTAACCAGTAGTTCTCCTCATGGTGGGTACAACTGGTCTGCAATGATGGCAGATCTGTCTATGTGGTCTGTGGAATTGCCCTTTTTATAAAGAGACAGTTAGCAATAGATTAGGTAATTGAATGATCATAATTCTCTACGGCCCAAGGTGAGGTCTTCCTGTTTGTATGTTTTGTCAAAGACATTCAATTAAAATGATATAAAATGTAAGAAAAAGCTGCAAATTCTTACATTTTAGATCAGATTTTTCTGCTGCAGTCTCCTGTGAATTGACTACAGTTTTGCACCTACAATTAACACCGCTGTGCATGTATTTATCAACCACAACAACATATTTCAGTACGTATAGGCTGTGTATGTGTGTGGATATGACCATCTACATCATTTCTACTGCACACTTAGACAACAGATTATTTCCAGGATATTTGGTCATTTTCTCTAAATTTCCAGGTTATCCAGGATGTGTGGGAACCCTGACAGTAGCTTTAGTCATAATCACAAGGGGTTGTGAATAAGAGCTACTGGTTCTTTAAACTCGTCTGCATTGCGAACAATAAGTCAGGCTCCCCCAGCTGCACTGAGGTCAGTTTTTTTTGTACGTCATTAAGCCTGCTGTAACCGGCAGTGCAGTGATCAAACACCTGGAGAGCGTGCCAGCTGGAAAACAGGAAACTGGAGCTGGAGATTCCTGCAGCCTGAGCTCACAGGGAAGCTCCTGGGTGACTTCGTTCAAACCATGTCATGAATGAGGCCCCCTGCCTCGGCCCTTACAGAAGGTGCGAGTGTGGGTGGTGTGCCGCTGGGGTCGCAATAGTGCCTCACCAAATTTAGAATGGAAACTGCTGTGGAGAGACCAGGAGGGGGGAGGTTGAGGGGAGGAAGTGTAGGGGGGGGGAGGAGGTGCCCACAGCTGATGTAACCTCACAACAGAAAATAACCTGGAGTGATGACGACGCGGTGAGATCACCCGCTTGAACTGCCAAGCATTTGGCGCTCTTCAGTTACGTTATAAACACACAACACGCGCAGTGGCCGCTCGGTCACATGGTGTCATTAACACCATGAGCAGCAGAGACAGTGATAATCCACCTTTAAGCATTTTACTTTGTCTAAAAGACACTTTTTGCAGCTTTTTCTTAATTTTATATCATTTTAATTGAATATGTTTGACAAAACATGCAAACTGAAGACCTCACCTTGGGCTGTAGGGAATTATAATGGACGTTTAATCACTTAATCTATTGCTAACTGTCTTTTTATAAAAAGGGGAATTCCACATACAACACATACATCAAGATTTGTCATCATTACATACTAATTCTATCCACCATGAGGAGAACTACTCAGTACAGACACAGCTGTCTAATGTGCTCTGTGGCTGTGAAGGAGCTTCCAGAAATCTGAAGAAATACCCCCGGATGATGTCATGTCATAAGGGTTATACAAACTGGAGGTGTGAGGTTTGAAAGATACGAGCAGGGAGGGTGGAATTAAAAGCCTCCCTAGAGTTTAGGGAAAATGTAACATCAAGTGTTTTTGGAGCTTGAGTCATGTTTCTACTGCTCACCACCAGACTCCATTGAAAAAAACGTACATTTTACCTCGCAGAGTATCGTAACGCAACTTCATTCAAACTGGACCGAAACAAACTAAAACTCACCAATCACTAACTCTGGTTTGGTCAAAATAAATCCTACTTATGTGGGGCCAGACCAGCTTTGTAAACAAACCACAGAGAGGATGCGATAGCAACACAGACAAAGGAGTGACACCTCATTTTAAATCTCATATATAACCTTTAAATAGAAAATGTCAAATGTAAGAGGAATCATTTCTTCAGCCTCCTTTTGACCTGACCTGATGTGTTAATGGAATAAAGATGCAGTGTGTAATAAGATTATTTCTGCTCAACAGCACTAAAAGCACCATAAAACCCACAATACAGCATCTGCAGGTTGTTGCTGATCAAATCACTTTCTGGCTCACATTTCAAACACTTCAAGACTCCCTTTTGCATTTTCAGTAATAAATGATGTGCGAGGGAGTTACCTCATAAAAAAAAAAACCCAAACACAAATGGAAAACAGCAACTCATATCAGTGCATCACACCCACCTACGGCACCTTTTAAGGTTAAACACAACTTACTGTCCCTTTTCAAACAGTTATTAGTCAAAGCTGAATCACCCGATGTCGTTTGTCAGCACTATTCAAACCAGGTAGTGATTCATCGGGGAATTATCTTAGACACACCAAACTATAACCCGTCTGCTCGGGATTGTTGTGTCAGCAGACGAGTTATAGTTTTGTCACAAACCTGCCCTGATTCACATCCCCGTCATGTTTTACCGAATTGTGGGAGAGAAAATGAACAACTGTTTGCTTTGACACTGCTGAGACATTTGTGGAAAAGGCTACAGTTGAGTCTCAAGATCTTTAAGACATAACCGAGTTCCACAATTAAGATTTCCTCATTGATTTCAGCGTGTTCAGCTAGGTGTTACTTACCGCCATGTATGGTCTGCAGCCAGCGTCTCTGGTTTTGGCGATGGAGTCCACAAGCTGACCGCTGATGCCAAAGTCACACAGCTTTATGTTGCCGTTCCTGTCCAGGAGGATGTTTGACGGCTTAATGTCTGCGGGAGGGAGGGAAGAGAGACGGCTGATGATAGGGTATCTGAAGGTGAGCAATAAGATTAAAAAAGGGTCTGGTGTTGTCTTACCTCTGTGTATTATTTTCAAGTTTTCTTTTAAGTGGTTAAGTGCCTTCACAGTCTGCAAAACACAGAGAAGGTTTTAGCAACGGGAGTCGGAAATGAGGCGTCTTTATTCCTGAAAAGTGATCGTAACACTTACAGCTAATGTTATTTTTCCTAATATTTCCTCTGGAATCACGTCGTCTAATGAGCAATATACAAATTTGTAAAATTTGTCTAACGAGGTAGCCATAAGTTCCATACAAATCCAACAGTCACCCTGAAACACAAGAGATTCAGTCATTAGAAATAACGCAGAGTAAAGGAAACATACATCACTTTATCCTCTAGCCTATCTTATGAATTTAGCTATTACACAACCTTCCTAAATGAAGAATTTAGGATGGCATAGACCCGGTCCTAAATTAAAAAAAAACTGCCAAAACTCTGTTAGCTCAATGCTAAAACATAATGGGAATTATCATTAAGGTGCTAACAGAAATAATAAACAATTTTACTTCAAATGCTTAACATAAAATAACACGTGTGCTCACACTAGAAGGCATATATTTCCTGTGTTCTGTGACATAAGAACACATTGCAAACTTAATCTGCTTGAGACAGCTGCTGTCTCGAACGGAGTTTACAGTTCGAGTGAGGATTTCTGAAGATAAGATCTGAGATAGGACAAAGCCAACAGTTTAAGATTTGCTTCTGTAATCAAAAGACAGGAGTTTCCCCTCTCTTTGAAGCTTCACTTAGGACATTTTTCTGTAACGGGGCCCCAGAAGCTGAAATGTGAGCGTCACCTCTCTGAACAGAGCACCATAAAACTGCACGATGTAGGGACAATCACTACTTCTCATGACCACGTCTAAGTCCATCAGCAGCTGCTTCTGCTCCTTCTCATCAACTGTTGACCGAATTCTCTGCGAACAAACAAACATTACAATCAGAGACAAAATTAACACAGAGTCTTTAACCTGCATCGTGGATGTCTACATATCAAAAAGGCTCATCACCTTCACCGCCATGATCTGGTTGCTCGGCTTGTGCACCATCTTATTGACGGAGCCGTAAGCCCCGCGGCCGATCTCGCCCAAATCTTTGAGATCCTCGGCCGTGAAGTCCCAGTGCTGCTCCGGGGAGATCTTCAACTTTCCTGACGACTCGATACTGTGTGTTCTCAGCCTCTCTCTGTCGGGAAACACCGCAAGTGTAAAGTGTGTGTTAGGAGACGCAGAAACGAGCTAATCTAAATGCAGTGACGCTGGATTTGATCTGCGGGTTTTGCTCACATGTGCGGGTTTTGAAAGGGCGGCCCCGCCGTGTTCAGTGTGAATCTAGTCGTGGGTTTGATCGGAGGGTTGGCAAAGTTCAGCTTCAGGGCTTTGCGTTTACCTGCGCAGGGAAAAAGAACCATAATGTGATCAGATCTTACAGGAGGCGGCGCGTGTGGAGGATTGAGCAACACCAAAAGCAAACTCACCCCACATGAAAGGTCAGAATGATGAGTGACAACACAAACCATAAAATGAGATAACAGAGGGGAAGGGGAGGCGAGTAAATTCATCAAAATTTACTCAAATCCATGGATGTCATGCTTTCCATAGAACAAGGGAAGTGAGGAAGGGGCATCACCATATGTGGATGTTTTACTGCCGTCATATTTCCCAAAAAACATACTCACCTATCAGCCTCAGATAAAACAACGACTAACAGCGACTGTCTGTGTATCAAATGTTCTTCCTCTGTGCCACTGAGCTCCAGAAACACACCAATGAGACACACTGTTCAACTGGGTTCCTTCATTACCATGAACACACACACTAGTTGATCTGGACTCACACATACACTGTCCTGCTGCTGGAAATAAGAGCACCAGATGTGGATTAATCCGCAGCTGAAAATAGTCCCTAAAAAAAGCTCAGAGCTAGAGGGAGCAGCTGGAAACAATGGGCTTAGAGCTGAGAGACAAAGTTAGTTTAGGTCTTTTCACGTGATTTCCTAACAAGAAGAATAAGGCCTTTAACACTTTAACACATTAATTTACGCCTCATTTCACAAGTTAAAGGTGGGGTGTGTGATTCTGGAGAAATCCAGTAAGGTGACAAACACTGTGATATAGTTCAGTGGTTCCCAACCTTTTCCCTTAAAGGAACTTTTTATTTTCTCCATCATTTAGTAAACTGATGACCCCTGGCTAAGCAGTGAACTCAGTAACTGCAGGAAGTTTGTTTTTTGAGCAGATTATTTCTGTTTAGGGAACTTTTTATACAAATCTCTACCTGTATTATGTTTTTATCATTTTTAACAATCACTTCTTTTCGGGCATATTCAGTGTTTTCTTGTCCTTGAGCCTTTCCATTGTTGTGGGGCTGGCAGTAGCAGGCACGCGCTGCTCAGGTAGGCGGTGTGAACCGAGGGTCAATGTTACTTGTCTGGTCTGATTCAATTATCAAAACTACCTTTTTGCAACATACAGCGGGAAAACAATCGTTATAATATCGGATATGTCTGCGATTGGCCAATACTGACCGATCGATATATATCTAGTATTGGAATAAAATCACTTACCCCACCTTTAATGGCTAACAACATTTACAGTCATACAGGTCGGTTAAAACTCAGTTTATATGACTATAAATTCAAATTTCAGTATTAAATGAATTGGCACTGGATTGTCCTTTTTCTAAGAGAGAGATCTTCTATTATATAATATTTCCATATGTTTACAGTGCTTTTATATTTGCATACTGCAGTACTTTAATGCCTCTACCATTTACCCTGTCTTAAACTGGTGTCACATGTTCAGCAGCAGCCAAACACATTCAGCTATTGATCAGCTTACAGTCGGACACAGTATCGTCTGAATCCACTATCTGAAGCAGAGACGGAGACGTAAGCATGCTGCTAAGATCCCAAACACCTACATTCACAGTGCAAGACACACCACCCCACACATAAAGACAGGAAACAGAAAACACTGCTACATGACATGCTCCTCAAGGCCAACTGCTTTGATTTCACCTTCACATCGGAGGAAAGCGCTGCACACTGCCGCTCGCTCCGCCTCCCGAAAAAACACCACAAGAATGTGCGAGTTCCAATACGGCTTGAGCGGAAAAAACAACGCTTGAAATGACAACTCTCCGGTGTGTGCACCTTGTCTCGACAAGCAAAGCGCTGTGCTGAAGTGCACCCATGCCAAAAAAACAAAAGAGAACACAACACTACAGGCATTACTTGTGTTTGTTAGTCACACACTGAAAACCAGTGAGGCAGAGCTTCCATTACTGTGTTTAATTGAGTTTAACGAAGCAAAAACACACTTTTTTCTTTAGTTGTGGGAACTTTTATCACACATCAATTCAGTGCCCAAAAAAAATCAATGGAAGCTCTTAATTTTAGGCTTGTGCCGATGGGAACAAACACACCTCACCCATAGCTGTGGCTCAATCAGTCGGACAATAAACTGCACGTTTTGAGCAGAGATGTTGTGAATCAGTGATTTATTCAAACCTCTACGTTTGCAGCTTCATCCTGTTACCTGAGCATCTTAAAAACACTGTTAGCTACCGGCACAAGCCTACGTGAACCCATCTTGGACTTGGATTAGTTGAGAACAGCAGGACAGACTCCCCCATACCAGACTGTCAGACGCAAACAAAGGGATGAGAACTGTTGGTGCTGAAGCAAAAGAGGTTTGGCTTACTTGGGGGAGCTCCAGACAGGTTTATCTGAAACCCTAGAGGTGAGAAGACAGCTTTTATTTTCTTCATATTTCACCTTCAGTTTGGCAGCTTGTTAGTGAGACTCAGATGTTCCCTAAAACCTCCTCTCCCTGCCTTAAAGAAGGTGTCACCCAACAAAAACCAGGACTAATCACAGAAATTGGCCTTGCTCTGCTAACATGTCAAACATACCGGGGGGGGGGGGGGTTTCTATCACGGGTTAAATGCATCGTCTGGAGGGTAATGCATCAGCATGCACACGCATTTATGAGACGACTACAAGCACTTTAGTACGGTGAAGTATGTCACGTGTCAGTCAGTGGAACGGCAAAATGAAGGAGGTAAAATAACCTGCAGGTGAAACTTAAAAAAGACAAAGAGGAGGAAGAAGAGGAAGGGGGGGGCTACACGAATTACCGTTATGAAATGGTTTTGCAAGGAAAACATAATTACAGATTTAAGAAACATTTTTGTTGAGACAGCTCACCATCAGTCAGCATCATGTCAGGAGTTAGGGATCATTAGTTAGCAGCATTAAGGTAAAAGGTGAAACATGGTCAGGGGACGAAAGCACAGGGTTATACAACAGGGCCAAATGTCAAATATCTGATAGTGAATCAATTAAAGCATTTAAAGCCTGAACTATTATTACTGGTATTAAATACAGACTCAGGGGTATACAGGTAACATGCATCTCACTTAGAAATCTTTACTGATTCATTTAATCATCACATGAAAGTGAAATCAAGAAAGAAATCAACCAAACTGCTAACTATATAAACTATATAAACTATATTTAACATCATCACTCGGGGCTTTTTAAACTAGTAGTGTAAGGAAGACGTCTAATGGAGCTTAATCTGTTCTGGGAAGCAAAAATCCCCCGTTAATATTTAAACTTAATTAATTGTATTGCTCATTAAAAGTGCTTCTCCTTCTCTACGGAGTGAATGAAACGTGTAGCTACCTGTTTCACTCTGACATCTCCAGCAGGTGTTGGACTCTGAAAGTTAAAATGAGACATTGTTTGTACAAATAAATAAATACAAACATACACAGCATTGGCAATGGATGGAAACCCATTCAACTTTACAATCAAATTAATCAATTCCACTCGGTTTTGCATCTTGGCGACGACACACAGCCAGTGTAACGTGATTTCACATAATGTATTAATTGTGGGTGAATTCGGCATACTTAACACTAACGTAGCTCTCATGCTGAATTAGATAGAGAGATATTTTATATACTTTATTGATCCCAAGCTGGGAAACTGCAGCTTCTGTGTGGAAGAAGAATGAGGCTTAATTTAAGAAATAACCAAATGTTGTGAATGCCAAGGCAGCTGTAATTAAAATAGGATCAGATAGAGTTTATTGATCCCACACTGGGAGGGAATTCACTGGCTACAGCAGCTCCAGATCATAAAACACACATTAAATAAAACACAGAATAGAAAAATACAACATAATAATGATAATAAGACTATATACAGCTTTTTATATACAATGTGATTGATACAGTCACAAGCAGGAGGTAGTGGCCAATCTTGTGCATGTCATAAATGTATTATATATTATATTATAAATATATATATATACATGTGTGTGTGTGTTGTGTGTGTGTGTGTGTGTGTGTGTATGTGGAAACTGCACAGGTTATTAAAGTTGCACACAGTGTCTTTACAGAGACACACCAAACATGACACATTAATTAATCTACGCGAAATAGTGTATTTTTACGGTTTTGTAAGATTTAAGAAATAAATACTTTAATAATTAGCCCATTATTACATACGTATAATTAAATTGCCATTTTTTCAACGGAGTTTGGCGAGACGTTCCCCGAAGGCAAAAAGGACGACTGAATGCAACTGGAAACAGCAAAATATTCAAAACGCCAGCAAGGGACCAATAAAACGCAATTTAAAGAAGTTACGAAACAACACAACCTTCTAATCGATCCACCAACAATCAATTCGGGATAAAGCTAATTTGGAAGAACACCCTAACCAGCTCCCTTGGAAGTACCATTCCCAGTTTCTGGGAGCAGCTGAGAGCTGCTAGCCCCTGTGCTACATTAACCTTCAGCTGCAGCAGATCGCTTTCATTATTTGCCCCCAGCTGCACACCTTACCTCTGCATGCTGCCTCATGGGGTAATTGTGGCGGACTGGGAGCTGGGACTGGCTGGTGGTGGTTTGGCTGCAGACCCGCGGTGCTGGCCTTGCCTGTTGTTGAGTTGTTAGGAAACTTGAGAAGTCGCCATTGTTGTGGTGTTTGAATTCCATCGCAGCAGGAGGAAGGAGAGAGCTCAATGCAGATAACCTCCTTTACCCCTCCCCCGGGTAGGGTAC